CACACACACACACACACACACACACACACACACACACACACACACACCCGCTACATAAACGCCAAGAACTGAACCAGACACTTTTTAAGTACAACTAAGGACATCTGAGGGGGGAAATAATTGTTAGGAAGAGAAATAGGGGAACCGTTTCATTACTTCAACAAGGTATTGCTTATTGCAACAGCAGACCCCAAAAAGGCAGAGCTGATCTATTCCATTAGTACAGTTTCAGGGACACTGAAAGGTTTCCAAAATGGTAAGGTAACAACCCCAAATACTGCGTTGGACATTGGCTTGCCTTAAAGCCTACCTATGTGATCACTCTTTTCATCCAAATATAATTACTTACTTCAAGACTTTTTTCTATAATGAACTGATACCTGACTGTGGCCAACTCCCCCAAATCATAAACCAGCCTACCCTGACCTGTGCGCGTGCGCGCGGGCACACACACACACACGTATGTGAATGCCTTTCCATTGTTTTTTAAGAAAATAAAATCATTTTCCTTAAGCATCACACAGCTCTATTCTAAGCAAAGAACTTCCAGCCTATCTCTACAGGTACATGAAGAATGTGTCATCTACTATAGGTCTAATTTTAAGTCCCACAGCACCCATGCTGCTGGCATTGAGGGTTGTAAGTGTATGTACAAATGATGAACTGTTTTTTTTGTTGTTTTGTTTCAGGCAATTGGGGTTAAGTGACTTGCCCAGGGTCACACAGCTAGTGTCAAGTGTCTGGTCTGAGGCTGGGTTTGAACTCGGGTCCTCCTGCCTCCAGGGCTGGTACTCTACCCACTGTGCCACCTAGCTGCCCCCAAATGATGAACTCTGAAGTGAGATGAAATCTCTGAACTGGAAGGAACTTTGGAGGGCAGGCATCTAGTCCAAATCAAACCAGATTCCCTTAAAAAGGCTTCAAATCACAGGAGACTCTCAGCTCCTGTTAACAGAGTTTTTTCCTTTTTTGGGGGTGGAGGAACATTATAACGCAGACAAGTGTACTATACAACGCATTTACAATTCAGAATTTTCTGAACTAGGTAAATGCTGCTACCCATAGAAAATCTCAGCTCCCCCAACGAAAGTCTCCACAAGTTTTTCCCCAAATGTTTAGTAATTCAAAGCAGTTCTCCTACAAGTAACAGAATTCAGACCTACAATTTTAAGCTGATTAAAGACTATTTAACTACTAATATCAAAGAAGACTGAATAATAAGCCTCAGCACTGAAACGTATCCATAATCTTTGTTTCTAAGTTTAAATAGAATTATAAATCTTTCCAAATCACTATATCTTGTCTTCCGTTTTACCTTTAAAACAATTTTAGTAACACACAGCTGCCAGAGAAAAACAGCTCTTTATTTTTTAATATATAACATAATCTTATAACAGCCCCTAGTTCTGAAATGAACTCAAATGAACTTTGTTGTCTACGTGACACATGGAAGCCAATTCTGACCATATAGACTCAACATAGGCTGAAACAGGCCCCAAATTGCTGGTCAAGATAAAACATTTGTTGTAATATGTCAGAGACAGAGATGTACAACTAGACTTAACAAATTAAGCTGTGTTTATTTCCCACAACCAAAATGTATCCCACACAGAAATTCACAAGTTGAAGGTAGAGTTTAAAAAAAAAAATAGTGCTTCCCTCATTCAGATAATGCCAACCCACCTGAAAACCACTTGGGAATCCTTTTTCCTCATTACTACAGTACATAAGACACTTAAGCCAACAGGTGTCTTACATGCCTAAACTTTTCATACAACATTAAGTGTTTCCAGGAATTACTAGCCTTCTGGCTCTAACACGAGGACAGGCAACGAGATATCTGACATTCTTTTAAAATGACAATTCTTAAAAATATATGACAAACAAAGGAGCCAACATATCAATATACCCTTATGTTAAGACATTTAGTCATGAAACCCTAAAGCAATTAAATGACCCTCCCTATCCGTGGAAATCAAGGATTTCTTTGTACCCTTGGAAAGGTAGGCTCTGTAAGAAGAATACAATGACTGACAGACTGTCCATATTGTACCCGTGGTTTTAAAGGAAATGAGTACACAATCTCACAAGTATTTGTCAAAACCCAGCAACATTCATCCAAATCTCTTCAAGGAAATGCACACGAGCCTGAATAATATTCGGTGTTTTAAAATTGACCGTTTCTTCTAGTAGTCTTCTGTATGGCTTCCTTCAAAAATTGAGGGTGTATCTACACTCACACACACACGCAAGACACAAAGGAGGAAATGGTGGAAGGAACCAATTTTCCTCTCAGAGCCACATTTCAAGGAGATTTTTCAAAACTTGTGTAATACAAAATTTATTCATGTAAGCATTCAGACATGTTTAGGTGGGAAAGACGATATTCAGAGTCTACTACAAGGTTCAACAGAATATAGTACTGAAAGGGATGATACATCTGGTGCAAAACTGGCAGTGGTACAATTTAAAACCAAAGTGAATGAAGATACTTATTCTGGGGGTAGGGGGAGAACTTAAAATAATGTAAAGCTTTGTGAGGCTAGCTGTGTTCCAATTTAAAACACTGAGAAATAGTACCATCATTGAAAAATGAAAGCAACCTCTGTGTGTACCAAAAGAGATATGGGGGTCAAAAAAAAATTCTGCATTTATTCAGGTACAAACAGGAGTTGTCCATAGGAGGGCATAATTATTACTTAATGGCAAACCCTGCAGATACCAAATCAAACCCAAATCACTGGTCACATCATTCAAAATGTACATGTAATAAAGGCAAGGCAATATATTCAGTTATGGCCTGTCAAATATTTACTCCACTAATATTATCTACAGAAGCACTTGGCCATTTTGTACACAGTGATTTCTTATGCACGCTGAAAGGGTTTCAGTAAAAATGACACTATATACAAATCTGTACACAGATCCAACAGAGCGATTCTCCATCTCCTGTGGGAGTTATCAACTTAAAGCAGGATACCTGAGGTTTCACAATATCTTTAGTTGCCTTATCACAATCTCAAATATACATTTCAGGGTTGGTTTATTTGTTTTTGTGGTTTTTTTTTTAAAAAGATACTTCCCTTGAATATATGCACTGTGGTTAAAATTAAAAACAATAATAATAACAGTAATAAAATAAAACTAGCTTTAAGGAGCTGACACATCACCCAACTGGGAGACTTCATCTTGCTGTGGGCCACTGAGGAATGTTTGTTCTGTGGACAGCTCTCCCTCCTCCGGCCATGGGAGATGATCCCTGCAGTCAGTCACACACCTCTTCACAGGGTCTTGTTGATTTTTTTTTTTAAAACAGAAAAGGAAAGAGAAAGAAGGAAAAACAAAAACCCAAATACTAAAAAGATTTCAGTGGGATGAAGTTCCTCCACCACTCAGTGAATATCTGGGGAAAGAAAGGAAAAATGACATCACTTCCCTGACACAGTTCACTAAGCTAATCAATGACCAAGAAGAGGTGCATTTTAACAAGAAGAAAACACAACTCCCACCCCCCCAAATCATCCAGTTTGTTCCTCCAGCCGTATCAAAAGTGAACCTGAGACCCACAAGCCACATTAAGAAAAGAGAGAAGGGGCTGGGGAATGAGGGAGAGAGCTCCTCCAGCTAAGCTTCCATGCTTGAAGACTTCCTAGTTCTCTTAAAGACATTTCTTTAAAAATCAGTTACTTCATTTTCAAGCTTATAGAGCACCTGGTGCCCCTCAGGAACATCACACCTATTTATCCAGGGTGTCCCCAAAGTATGAGGCCAATCACTTAAAACTGCACTAATACTTTTGGGATTCCCTGTGTAAAATACATTGTAAAAACACCCAGCCTCTGGTTACAATGCCTCAATTTTTAAGAAATTAAAAATTTTAGCTGAAGAAGCTATGTTCAGGGCCTAGATTTGTATAAGCATTTGACTGACTGATGTCACACAGAGGACGCAAAAAGGAAAAACACACACACACACACACACCCCAACCCAGAGAAATACTGGCAATATTTAATACTAAGGACACGTGCCTTTTTTCTCATCTACAGAGAACAGACTTGCTATCGGAACCATAATGGAAAAGAAGCGGGGGGCAGCTAGGTGGTGCAGTGCATAGAGTACCAGCCCTAGAGTGAGGAGGACCCGAGTTCAAATCCGGCCTCAGACCAAACACTTGACACTTACTAGCTGTGTGACCCTGGGCAAGTCACTTAATCCCAACTGCCTAAAAGTTAAAAAAAAAAAAAAAAAAAAAGGAGGAGGAGGAGAAGAAGAAGAAGAAGAAGGATAGAACAAAAAGTGGTAGGTTTGTAACCAGAGATCTGGTTTAAATGCTCCCTCTGTTACTATCTTTGTGACGTTCAACAAATCACTTTATCTCTCTGGGCCTCAGTTTCCTCATCTGTAAAATGAGGGGACTGGACCAGATGGCCTATGAGGTCTCTTTGAGCTCTACATCTGCTATCTTTGTGAAAGACTGCTCTATAAAGCAAGGGATCTCTGTACTGGAAACAGAGAGCAGGGGTGATGAAAATACCACAAAGGTAGAGGTCTTATAAGAACAAGAAAGGGAAACCCTTATTAAAACAAAATATGAATTAAGTAATTTAACTGTCAACAAAAAAGGGGGGGGAAGTCTCACTTAAGAGGGGGAAAAGCCACAGAAAACAATTCTTGAGATAAAGGACAAACAAGACTCAAAGATGCTTAACTTTTGGCAATTGCTTATTACTAGTCAACACATTTCAAAAATTAATTGTGACAATTGAGGACATAGTTGATCTAGTATCTTGAATCAGCAGTGGAGAAAAAAGATAATTAAGGGCTTAGAAGGCAAGAACAGATCAAATATGAAGACAGCTGTATATGTTAATGAGGAAAAGGAGGACAGAGGAAAAGGAGCAAGGAAGGAAAGGAGAGTGGAAGGCAGAATTTATTAAGAGCCTTGCCAAGCATGGTGCTATGTGCTTTACAAATATTATCATATTTAATCTTCACAACAACCTTAGCAGGTAGGTGTAATTATTATCTCCATTTTACAGTTGAGAAAACTGAGGCAAACTGATGTGAAATAACTTTGCTCTGGGTTTACACAGCTAGTAAATATATGAAGCTAATTTGAACACTGGTCTTCTGGACTCCAATCCCTCTCCTCTTTATACTGTAACATCTAGCTCCTGTAAGCAACGGAACTATTCATTTTTTTTTCTTTTTATAGGCCTTGTGATTTCTTTGGTACAGAGCATTCCCAGCAAGGGAACTCCCTTTACAAATGCTGAATGGGAAGCTGCACAGCAACTTAATGTCTACACAAGTTACCAGGGAAATTGAGGTTCAGAACTATTAATTTCACACAAGTTCTGGCCAAATGAGAAGAGAAGAGTGCTGGAAATGCCCCTCCACACAAGGTTAACAAAGTGGTATTTGGGGATTTCCTCCATGCTAATAATTATCTTCATAGAGAGAAAAAAAGGTGGCGCTTAAATGTATTTAACAAGTGCTAACAGTGACCTTTATAGGCCCATAATAATACAAATGAAGGCAGTGCATTATACAATAATTTAACTCCTATCCTAAATATGAAATTCAAGACATTTACAGAGTAGTCAGTTTTCAGGAAATGCACTTGCACTGAGGAAGGGCTCAGTCTAGGTCACTTGCTCTTATCTCCTCTTCCTGAGGGGAAGCCACCTTGCTAGCCATTTCTTTCCATCTTTATTCAAGCAGACGAAAGCAGAAGGCAAGCCTTACTGAAAACTGGCTTACCTGAATCAAAACCTCTTTATACCACACAATGACAATCCAACAAAAAGCCTGGGAATTATTAGTCACAATCAGCTCTCAATAAGCCACATTAAGGAAGGGGAACACTGGTATGGATAATTGAAAAATAAATTTAATTATCCACCTGACTTTGCTAGAACGGTGAGGTGTAGTTTTACAACATGGCTGACAGCACATTAAGCAGAGGAGCCCCACGTCTCAAAGAGAGGATGTAGATAGCAGAAGGGCAGGGATAGCCCATAATGCATAGTAACAGGGAGTAAAATGTAGTAACTCTACTCTTTAAGACAAAAAGGGGCCATGGAAATGATCTACCAAGGGGACTTAGTCTAATGCTATTTCAATTAATCTGATTATTCTAAGGTATATCTGAAGGACATCGAAGTCTCAGAACTTCTGCTTCATTTTGCCTAAAATGACATCAACCAATGTCTGCTCACAGAATCATGAAAGGAAGGGACCTCAGAAGTCACTAAGTCTAAATCCCCTCATTTTACAGATGAGGAAACTGAGGAACAGATGTTAAGCAATTTGACCAGCCTTATTCAGCTAGTAAACGTCTGAGATGGGATAGCAACCAGGGTCTGACCTTAATTACAGCACAATCAATCAATCAAAAAAGTATCTCACTATGTGCGAGGCACTGTGTTGTCTGCCATAATGCCACACTGTGATAAACATGGAATTCTGATGAAAGCACTGAATTTCATGGCTATCATAGAATCAAGAGCTATCAGAGCTGGAAGGGACCTTCTAAACCTCTATGTCTGTCATTCCCAATGACTCCTACAAGTACAAAATCAGTGAATGCCTTTAATGAAAGACAAATATTTGGGAAGCAGGGGGCAGAATGGAGAGCACTGGACTCGAAGCCAGGAGACCCACGTTCAAATCCTTCCTCTGCTCCTGTAGTGCTTATGTGACTTCAGGCAAGTCACTCAAACTCTTCAGAGTTTGATTATCCTCACTTTTAACACGAGCAATGTGAACTAGAGGCCTTCAAGGTGTCCATTCTAGCTCTAAATTCATAATCCTTCTCCAGAACACTATGCAATATAAACAAATCTGTCCATGGTCCTCCTACAAAAAGAATACCCCTGTGTTAGGGCTTAAATGAAAAAGCTTTGTCATAAGAGGTACTTTAAACCAGGAAATCAATTCTGGAGTGACAGATATGGACTGGTGTGTGGCCAAAGGACTGCTCCAATTTCAGCTAGTCATGGCTTTAAGCTGGCAAAGCATCTTAAAGATTTTTTCAAAAAAGATCTTCATATGTGTTGCGGGGGAGGGGGAGAGGACAGGAGGAGAGGGAGAAGGGAAAAGAAGATAAGAATTCCATAAGCACAGAATGCAGTGACAGTCTCAGAAGGACCCACGGTTCTCTCCCATCTGCTGGGCTTGGTTACTCGTCTAGAACTACCTTCTCTTTGCTTTTAACACAGATCTATAGGAAGCCTCTTCATGCCCACAATTAAAAAAAAAATACACATACTACCACTGCTTCCCAACACCTGCTCGGGCAGCAATTTCCCATGGAAGCTGAGGAGTTAGTTACCTCTGAAGCCTCTGCACAAGCTGAGACACCATGGTGTCCGAGATCCCAGGACAGGCTTCTTCCGCCAAATAAATTGCACCTCTCAGTTCTTCGATGGATCCCATGTTGCCTCCACTTGCCTGGCTTTTCTCTTTCAACTTAAAAACCAATTTTAAAAAATGATATTAGCAAGGGAACTGCTTGTAAGAAGTAATATGAACACATGGGCACAGCACTGAGTTCAATTTGTATATCTCTTGAGTTATATTTCCAGCTTTACTCCTGAGGATCTAAGTGGCCCTGGAACCTACCTGGTTTCTCCTAAACAAGGACAGGTAGGGGAATACTTTCCCCCAGGTGTCTAGAGAATATGCTGGAAGCAATACTTGAATAGTAGTACTTACACATTACTTATGTATCTTCCATGTGGAAAGATATACATTACTCAAGTTGATAGTACACTTTTCTTTTTCTCATGTTATTGTAATCTTTTTTTTTTAAACACAGCCTTTATTTTCAAATCTATTCCTTTCACTCCTCCTACCTAGCAAATATCACTTGTAAGAGTAAAAATCAAACACAAAAAAAATTTCAGCAAAACCACCCCTCATGATCCGATAGCCATCTCTCACAGTCTGTGAAAGGAATGTTTCTCGCCATCCTCCCCCATACTCTTCTCTGGGGCCCAGCCTGGTCCTTCTAATGACAGTGTTCACTTTCTAGTCACTGTTTATTTTGCTTTTCTGGTTCTGCTGACTTTGCCCTCCATCAATTCATCTCAGTAGCCACCCCCCACCCCATTCCTTTTCTATGAACTCTTCTATTTGTTGTTTCTTTTGAGACTGTAATATTCCATCACATTCATGTACCACCATTTGTTTAGCCATTTTCCAATCAATGGGCATTACTCTGTTTCCAGCTCTTTGCTCCCACATAAAGAGCTGCCACCTGAATGTATTCAGAGTTTATGGAAGTTTAAGCCCATCTTTGACATCCTTGGGTTATATGCCTGGCAGTGGAAATGCTCAATTCAAAAGGTATAATTGGACAACTTCTCAAAGAAATTTTACTACATTGTAGTCGTCTACTATGTAGATTCCTTCTTTAAAAAAAAAAGAGTTATTACTTAGAACTATGACAAAAGTCCCTGAACCGTGCGTACTCTTTGACCCAGCAAAGGCCTACACTCCAAAGAGATCAAAGAAAAAGGAAAATAACAACCATGTACAAAATATTTGTCAGTTCTTTTTTGTGATGGTGGTGGTGGTGTTTGTCCTTCGTTCTCGAAGAGGATCATGACCAAGGAGGGGATGCCATAACATGCAAAAAATGAATTGGATTTAACTGAGGGAAGGCTGTGCAAAATCACCAGCCTCACTTTCTCCTCTGGAGCCATCTGGGTCCAATGGCCAGAAGTAGATCAGGACAACTGGAGATGGCCCACGATGCAGTGGAAGACCTTGGTCTTCTTAAGCTAAGGTCTCAGTTTGACTGAGGCGAAGCCCATTCATTAAGGCTATTAATCTTTGTGGTAGCAAAAAACTAGAGATAAAGGAGGGCCCGTCAACTGGGGAATAGCTGAACAAACTATGGTACCTGAATGAAATGGGATTCTATTGTGATGTGAAAAATAATGGAATAACTGTTTCAGAGGAACTTGGAACAATGTGAATGAATGATACTGAGGGAAATGAGAAGAACCAGAACAATTTATACAATTACATCATCAAGACATCATAAAGACAAACAACTCTGAAAGACTCTGGAACTCCAATTAACACCATGACCAAGCAGATTTCCAGTGAGGCCGAGACATGCATCCCAATTCAGAGAGCTGATGATCTCAGAGGCGTCCAACTGAGACATCTATTTTTGAGACATGGCCTATGTAGAAACGTGTTTTGCTTGACTATGCTTACTTGTTACAAAGGTTTTGTTTTTCTTGTGTCTGTCCCCTTCCCCTCCTTCCCCCTTCTCCAACCTGACCTCCCAGGACAATGGGGATCAAGGAGGTAGGAAGGAAAAGATTTTTGTTCATTCAAAAAAAATAAAAACAGATTAAAAAATAACAAAGAAAAGAGCTGCTTCACTGATTTACTACAGGCACTATACAAACTATTTCTTAGCTTGAACCCTGCTCAGGTCATCAACAAAATGTTTTCTTCAATCCTCCCAGGATTCTGGATTTCATTAATGTCAATGTTCCCAGAGAGATTGCTATACTTCAAACAACGTATGGACTTTAGAACAAGTAAATGGTCTCGAGCTGCTGCAGCTAACTTCCTGGGACTAACAAGAGTTTCTCTACATATAGTAAGCTATATGATTTTATATACATATTATATATATATATACATAAATAATATGACATACATAAAGTGCACCATTGATCCCATAACTCAAAAACTTATCCAGCTTTAACAGGTTCTAGACAAGGTTTGCAATAATCAAGAATACAAGCCATGATAAAGTCAGAATAGGACTTCAGTGGAGAAACTCACCAAAAAGCAATCCCAAATCCCATAATATCCCACACTAAGAGTTCAGTTTTGATTTTTAGTAGAGTTCTATTTACTAATAAGTCTTTTGAATGTCATGTGTCTGAATTACCTTCTAAATATTAAAGAGACTAGTCTAGAGATGCAGCAGTCTTCTGTCTTAGGCCAAATGACTCAATCTGGCAGTCAGGAATACCTGGAAATTCATCGAGCTGACCTAACCTGATAACTATTTGTACCTTTGCCTCAACGACAATTTAGGTCAATTTCCCTAGGAACTTCACTAATTATAATAGTAACTGGTCCACTACAGTTTGTAAAACTCACATGTGCAAACAACACTGCCTGGAACAAAAGGAACTTAAGATTTGGGCTCAGACATGAAATCACATGGATGACAAATATGAATCCCTACTTAGACCCCTCCCAAATTCCTGTCAACCAAGGATCATTTTGTAAGTGCCTACTATGTGTCAGGCAATGTGCTGAGCACATTTTGCTTAAAAGTATCAGAGACAATGAAATAATAACAAAATTTTTACAGCAAGTTTCTCTGATAAAGGCTTCATTTTTCAAATATATACTGAGTATAGAATTGAGTCAAATTTATAAAAAGAAAAGCCATTCCCCAATTGATAAACGGTCAAAGAACATAAACAGACCATTTTCAGTAAAAGAAATCAAAACTGTCTATACTCATACAAAAAAATGCTCTGATTGGAGAAAGGCAAATTAAAACAATTCTGAGGCACCACCTCACATCTATCAGAAATGACAAATGCTTGAGGGAATGAGGGAAAAATTGGTACACTAATGAACTGTTAGTGGAATACTGAACTGATCCAATCATTCTGAACAACAATTTGGAATGAGGCCCAAAGAGCTATAAAACTATGCAAACTCTGTGATCCAGCAATACCCTTACTAGGTCTATACCCCAAAGAGATCAAAGAAAAAGGAAAAACTTGTATGTACAAAAATATTTATAGCAGCTCTTTTTGTGGTGGCAAAGAATTGGAAATCAAGGAGATGCATATCAATTGGAGAACAGCTGAACAAGTTGTGGCATTCGTGGCATAAAATTATAATGTGCTATGCTGCACCATTGTGCTGTGGAAAATGACAAGATGAATGGTTTTAGGGAAAAAAAAAAAAAACCTGGTAAGACCTATATGAACTTATGCAAAGTGAAATGAGAAGAACTGAGAGATCATTGTGCACAGTAACAGCAATGTTCTAATGCTGATCAACTGTGAAAGGCGTAGCTACTCTGAACAATCCAAGATAATTCCAAAGGACTCATTATGAAAAATGCTATCTACCTCCCCAGAGAGAACTGATGAACTCCTAGTGTAAACTGAAGTTGAATTTTCTCACTTTGTTTGTTTTTCTCGCTTTTTGTGTGTGTGCAATATGGCTAATATGGAAATGTTTTGCAGGATTTCACACGTCCAACTGATATCATATAGCTTACCTTCTCAGTGGTTGGGGAAGGGGAGAGAATTTCGAATTCAAAATGTAAAAAGAAAAGAATGTTAAAAATACACTTAAAAATTTTTTGAAAAAATAAACAAACATGACATTATCAAGGAAAATAAAAAATTAGGGATACCCTTGTAAAACTCCTCGTGTTGGTCTATTTATGGTATAAATCAGAGGCATCAAATACACAGCCAGCTGGCCATATGCCGCCCACAACTCCTGAGTGCCACCAGAACCAGATTAAACTGTAACTGATAAATATTTAGCAAAAACTAAATAAAAATATAATAAAACATAGATAACATTAAAAAAAAATGAATAAGCTGAGGATCTCAGAGGTTAGGGCGTTAAGAATATGTTAAATACAATGACCAACCATAATTCCAGAGAACTTTTGATGCAACATGTTATCTATCTCCAAACAGAGAAGTGATAAAACTCTTACACAAATTGAGACATTTAAAAAAAAAAAAAATTGGGGGGGAGGGGGAGAGTAGAAGTGTGGGGTGGTTAACGTCTCCTAGTATGATGGCAGAAATTGAGGAAAGATTGTGAACTAGATACTGAACTCACTGAGAAGGAAGGTATCTTGGGGACGAATAGGCCAGAACTTGACTGGGTGACAGATATGGACTGAATGAATATGGAAGGAAAAGAGGATATTGAGTGATAGTGTTGGAGGGAGAGAGTGGAAGTGGCAATGGGAAACAGGAAGTATCACAATGACCAATGAGTTTGGGTATGTGTGAAAGTATAACTAATGGTAAAAAGGGTGGCCAGGGAAGCTGTGTCATCAAGATGGAGCCAGATCTCAACGAGTATAAGAAAACTGAGAGGATGAGAAAGGAAAAGATGGAGGCTAGTTTAAGATGAAAGCCAGTTTGCTACCTATGCAACAGACATTCCAGAAAGCACAGTGGAAGGGGTAGGTAGCATTAAAGTGGAATATTGGTGGAGGTTGGGGGGTGGGAGGTGGTGAGAAGGAATAAGGGAATAGTTCCTTGTAAACAGAGAACAGGGTTTGAACAATGAGAGTTGAGGGTTCAGAATCACTGGGATGGGAAGGAAATGGAAGTGCAGGAATTAGTTCAGATAGATTATCATCATCCATAGGAGTTCAGCCTAAGGTGGAGTTGTCCCAAGGTGTCAGGCAGCACTGTGTGGTTTAAAGGAATTTCCCAGGGGAGGGCAAGGCAACTGCTGTGGAGCTGCAGGTGTCCAGAGACTTGCTGGAGTGGATCAAATGGGAGGCCCTCATGGAAGCCTTCCTGGGTAGGTGTAGGCTGGAGACTGCAGTTGTGTGTCAGTGTCCAGATAGAGGGCCTAGAACCAGTTCTATTATTACATATAGTGAGAAATGTTTTGCAACATATCCAGGTCCGGCATTTCAAGATGATCTGGAAAATTTCAGTGTCCCATTCCTAGAAAGTTTTTCCTCTTTAGCTCTTATCATTCCGGAATCAATTATTTGCTTGGGTTTTTACTAACTGGCAGTGGAATCGGAAAGATAAGATGTCACGTAAGACTTAACATGAGGGAAACCTGAGCAACTCAACTTTTAACATATATCTCTTCCTCTTCTATCTGGATTGCAACACATCTGACCTCAAGACTTCCACCAAGAGGAGCCTGAATTTCTCAGAGAGCTAAATATACAATAGCAAGTAAGATTCTTTAAATGAGTAATTTGCAATTGCCCACTGTTTCCTTTTTTCCATGACTCAAACCCTGGCCATTAGCATTTTAAGTGATAGCTTTGAAATGTGGTGGAAATATAAGAAGCAGGACAAGTGAGAACTCTGTAAAATGACAAGTAAATCAAAGACCTTATAAAATCATAGGACCAGAGATCTCAGTCTGTCAGGGAACTCAAATACCACCTAATCCAAACCCTTTATTATCTATAGCTGAGATGTAACTAGTTAATTTGGAACACTGGAATTTGGTTTTTTCCAGTCTTGTTCTCCCCCCCCACCCCAACCTACTGCCCATTTGCTTGTAAGGACAGATTTGTCCCAGAAAGGTTCCTTCAGTTACATAAAATTCTGCTTGTGAAGTGACATCATTGTTCCATTCATAATTCTTGTCTTTTTAGGGTTCTTCTAGTTGGTAGACTGAACTCTCAGAGCTCTTGCTTTTGAAAAGTGGAAGGGTCTCAATTTTGGATATTGTCATGCTTTCACCATTTCCTTTTATTTTGTTTTTTGTTGGGTCTTTTGTCTTTTTTTTTTTTTAATAAAGTAAGGGGCAGGTCGATAGTGCAATGGATAGAGCACTAGCCCTGCAGTCAGGAGGACCTGAGTTCAAATCTGATCCCAGACACTTGACACTTACTTGCTGTGTGACCCAGGGCAAGTCACTTAACCCCATTGCCTAGCCAGGGAGAAAAATAATAATAAAGTTTATATAAAGCTTGTGAATTAAACAGAATAAATTTCTAACTTTAAAAACAAACAAAAAACACAGACACAAAAATAAATAAATGGCATGCCCAACCAAAGTCAAACAGACAGGAGGCATCAGAGTCAGAATCTGAACCCAGATTCCCAAACAAGATCTCTTTGTACTACTTTTCCAAAATTTAATGACAATCTGGGCCAACGAAGTATTTTACAGTATCAGTGAGATTAAAACATATAGCACTTTAGCACTTCTTTAAAAGAAGTGTTTTCCAAATTCAAGGTATGATTTATTTTTTGTTGGGGCAAACTTGGAGGTTTTCCTTTTTTAAAAAAACTGTTGCTTTTTTGTCAGTTCATGAAAAAATAATAAGTTTAGGTGAAAGATGGGACATGAAAGAATGTCATGGAAATTAGAGAACTGATAATTATTCAAGTTTTACTAGTCAGAATTAGGTTGTGAGCTTATGGGCAAGGATTGCCTTTCTGTGCAACCCCAGCTCTTAGCATGAGGCTTGGCAGTTAATAAATGCTGAGTGTCTGATAGAAAAGGAAAGAGAATAAACTAGCTTCCTCTTGATGGGTATTAGCTAAGGAAATATTCCTGAATATTTTTGCCATGTGCCCACCAAAAAAAAAAAATTCCAACTACAACTTAGCAAATCCTATGACATTCTGCCTAGTGTGGATCTTGAGCCTATCAAAGTGACTCAGGTAATATTCTGGACAATTGAATGAACATCCAGGAAACCACAAACCCTGCTCTATCAGATAAAAGAATCAAAATGGTATCATATAAATACACAGGAATGGTAATGAGACAAAGAATAAAGGTACGGTCTAGGGAAGCACAAAGCCTTTAAATTTAAGTATGAAATCAGTCCAATAGGAGAGTCTGTTTTAACATCAATAAAAAACCTCGGTGTGTGGTATCACTAAATCACCTGCCAATACTGCCATTTGTACAATGGAGTGCCGATCCATGGACTAAATCAGATCTGCTAAACATTTTCAGAAGGGACACTCTAAACCACGTAGAGAGAAGCAGACAGAACCTATTCATGGTATAGTGGACAGGTCATTGGACTTGGAGTCAGAAAGGGACAAGTTTGATTCAGCCTAGGCACTATGTTGTGTGATCCCGGGCAAGTTAAGTCCTATGCCTCGGTCTCCTCTTCAATAAAAGGAAGGGAACTGGAATAAATGGTATCTAAGATCCTTTCCAGTTCTAAATCCTATGATCGTTCCCATTTCTGTGACCAGTTATAACCCAAGCTAACCATAGTCTGTACCCTACTACATATGCTCTAGTTTTGTTAGTGGCAGGAAGTCAGGGTTACTAAATGAGAGTATGAGACACAGTGAGCTGGAATTCTGATGAAAGAGTATAGACTGTATCCTACAGCTCCTCAAAGTCCTAGAGGAAGACAATGGGCAGAACTAAAAATTCCCTTTGAAGAAAGAAGTTCTTAAAGGGAGTCTTATATGATGTTTCCTATTTGCCTCTTCTACCTCAAAAGAATTGTGGAAATTATATAAGATAACATCTCTAAAAAGGCTTTGAAAACAGAAACTAATTAGTTAGTGAAAACACTAACAAGATGCAGGACTAGTTAATTGTTGAATATAGGCATGGCTTGGTCCAGGCCAGGAATATTTTTGCTTTCTAAGTAATGGCTAAGGAGCTATAGTATTCTCTTTGTACTTATGGGGTCCTTTCCTGGAAAGACCACCACCTATACTGATATCAACATCACCTTGAGGCAGGTGAGGGTCCCAATGAGAAGGAACAGGAAAATGCCCATCAGAGAGAGAACCAGGACAAAAAGGAGAGAAAAGAGTAGGCCACTGGACTCCTAATGCACTGCTCTCGCTTCTAAAACATGTGCTCTCATTCTTTTAATGAGAATGCTATAATTGGTTAGGAAAAAAAAAAATGAAGTTGGACAACAGCTGTCAGATAAATGAAAGAGATCAAAGGTGCTAAAAAAGTATTCAGTGGGCCTGCTGCTCTTCTTATGACCGAATCTACTTCTGGTAATAAGAAGATGCCCAAAGTCAAAAGCAAAATACACTTAACTAAAATTACACTTTAGGGGGTAAAAGAGTTACAACTAAAATTGAAATTAAGACCCATGCTGCACAGATCCATGTACTTTTAGTAACTAGTGTTCACTGCTCAGCCCTACCCAGAAATAAGAATACAGTATACCACTGTGACTGACCCCTCAGCCTGCAAAGGGATAAACAAGTGGCCTCAGCCCAGTTGATGGGGTGGGGGGTGGGGGTGCCTCGCAGAAGAGGTATGTGAAGACAGGTGTGGGGATGGGAAATTTTCTTAGAATACTGACACTAAACATTCTTAGTACCTAAGGATAGCTTAACACAAGATGCACCCTGAGTTTCTGAAACTATTTTGAAAGCGTACATTTCTCTCATTTACCATTCTCCTGATATCACCTACCACCACAGGAAGACCAATCCCTAAAATAAAATGCTGACAATGTTAGCAATCTTACCTCTGCAAAAAGAGGAGAAATAACTGTAGATAAGCACTGAGACAAAGGCCTCTTTGGGATATCTTTCACCTTAAAAAAAAAATCAATATAATTTGATAATTTGTTATGCATTTAACAGAATTTATTACTTTCAAATCTCACAGCTTACACCTTGGCATCTGAACTCAAATACAGAGGGGAAAAATGTTCTTTCATGTTCATTATCAATGGATTTAATCAAAGGTAACCACAAATTTGATTATCTCTCATTAGACCAAAAGTTTTATATGTAAAACAAATCAAACACACAAGGGTAGGCAAACAGGTTATATATCACAACAGAAAATTATCATTTGTTTAAAATAAACTATACCATTATGCTACTGGGGGCGGGGAGAAGAGGAGTTTTCACTCTAAAGGTTAAAGACCAATAGGAGAAAGGTAATTTAAAGAGAAGAATAACAAACTACTAGAAGTCTATGACAACTTACAATGTTTCTCCTCACCATGGTAGAAGAGTACAACAAAATCTTACTAATTTGATTCACAATAATTCCTAGTAAACATCCATTTCATAAAGAAACTGGAATAATTTTATCTTTAAATTACTTATGGAGAAAGATTTTTCAAGATAAATTAACACTATAACCAAGATGAGGGGATTGGGAGGGTTTGAAGCTTTTTCAGAGAAACTATCTTAACACTACAGCATTACCTACTTACATAAACAACTACTGAGCTAATTACAAATGATTCAGCTCTATATTAAAGCAGAATTTGCAAGATCATTACTAGGTAACCATTAGTCTGGATATGTACTCAAAGCTACAGCTACTGTAGTAGCAACAAAAAGTGGGAAGAGACAACATGGTAAACAAGGATCAATGCAAGGAATCAGACAGATATAAGACAAGGGCCTAAGATAGCTGTCTTCAAGTATCTAAAAGTCTCTCATGAGAAAGAGCAGTAAGACTTACTCTATTTGGCCCTGAAGGGCATAAATAATACTGGTACTTGGAAATTATAGACAAACAGATTTTGTTTTTCCATATATGGAAGAACTTGCTAATCATTAGCTGTCCAAAAAGTAGAATGGACACCAGGGGAGAGTGAGCTCCCACTAACTAGACATATTTATGAATGAACAGCTGTGTGGATGCTTAAGAACTAATTCACGGATTAATGGAGAAGAGTTGAAAACAGATGACCTCTAAGGTTCCTTCTAACTCTAAGAGTCTATGAACTCAGGGGTGAAATAAATTCTGTGCACATAACCTTGGTGGTAATGTAGAAAACAGTGCTAGACCTGAAAACAGAGGCTTTAGTTTGAATCTACCTCTACTAACAAGACAATCAAGCCATGTCCTCTGGGCTTTAGCTAGTTTAAATTAACCTATTTGGTCCTTGTCCAGTTCTAAGTTCAAGTATGAATTTTTAGGATCCAATCAACATTAAGTCATTACTAACTTAACAAATTTTCTCAAGTCATTCTTTTAAGTTCCCACAGTCTGTTCCCAAATTTTTAAATTAAATAGCAAAATTCCATAAACCGGATGAAGAGGTATAACTATAACTATACAGCATTCAGAACTAAAAAGGTACTTAGCAAATGATCATTAACAATGATATTTAAATAATCAGGTCCTATTGATATCTTTGTATTTAATTTATATTTAAACATTTGTGCTTAAATAATTTTAATCAGGTTCTACCTTATTTCTTTCCAGTTCCTGTGGCTGAACTGCTCCATTCTCCAGGTTCTTAGGATCTTTTTCTCTGATTGTGAAGATCCAGTCTCCTGAGTCACTGCCACCTGATGCCTGACCATCTGTTTCTCTTAAAACAAAAATTCAGAAGTCTCCCATCACTAAGTATATTAACATTGAAAGGACTCAATTCAATAAAATGGGAAAGAAGAAAAAAATGCTAGAGACACCAATCAAGCACTGGACACGCATTTAAGACATAAAGGGCAGCTTTATATCCTGGGTGGCCTACTGAAGTCAGGCTCAACAAAACTTCTGGTGGGTCTGTTTGAATTGGGCAGCTGGCAATATACTTGCTATGTTGTGCCATACTGAGTCCTGAAGGGAGATTTGGACAACCAGCATGGCAACCCCCTCCAATTAGAATCCTTGTGATTGTATAAGCCAAACTGAAAACACTGCACTCTCATTTACACAGAAAAAGAAGCCACTGCTTAGAAAATGAGGTGGCCACCACTTTGCTAGACAGGAATGAAGGCTAACTGCCATAATCTTCTATTTTTAGGTTCCCACAGTTCATAAATCAATCTGAAATCCAGAAAGGAACCACAAATCTTCCACTCACTTGTGTTTTGTTTTGTTTTTAATAAAAAAAAAATAGCATCTCAAAAGTAAGATTTTGCTATCAAAACAACATCAGGAATAGTTTGATACTTTTCTCATAAATCTTAATCATTTTCAGTTTTAGGCTAATCTAAATCTGTGGTCTTAATCTCATACATTTTTAGGATGTTCCTGTCTCACTAACTCTCAGTTTTTGAGTCTGAATTCTCCCAGGACTCTGAGATTTTAGAACTAAAAGTCCTTTCCAGTTATCAGTCCTTAAATGGCTATTGTTATTCTCTGCCTTAATCACAGAAAGTCTATTATCTGGCTAAGGATGTGGGAGCTAAAGAGGTTACTTCAGGTTTTCTTTCTAACCTCATTAGCTAAGAAGGAATAGAAATTTAAAGGGTCAGTTATGAATAAAAAATTAACAGTATTTCGAAGTAGATTCATCATAAAAGTATTTTCAGGAAAAGAAAACCAGTTAAGGATTAGCAATTTTTACTCTTGGGAAGTTCCATTCATGGTATCAAGGGGTTAACAGAACATTAATATGTCCTAAAAAAGGAATCTTTAACAAAGGCATCATTTCAATCTGGTACATTTACTGCCAAAAATTCATAAAGTAATTTGAAGTGACATTTTCTGCTATGCGATTCTCTGATTATAAGAGCTGTAGAAGGCTGATTAACACTGTGGTCATCTCAAGCAAGGAAATTCTTCTGAGTCTGATCACTTGACATATTTCTTACTAAATCCTAAAGGCACCCAAAAGGTGTATAAAGCCAAGTAAACCTGTTCACTAACATATTTGCTCGAATAATCTGCCAAATGAATTTACTGTGAAAAAAGGAACCCAAACCATTCTAGCAAACCACTCAACATAACTGAGCATTTCCATTACTGAATGTCCATAGGAAAAGAGACTTATTTGGCAGTAGCTACATATGAACTTTACTCATAGAAGATGTCAGATCTTAGTGAACATGTAATAAGAAAAAGATGTAGCCACTTGCTAAAATTCACAGGGATTTGAGAGTCAGGTAATCACAATGGTCGTTTTATCTGGATAATGTCATACATAACATAGACCTCAGATAGGAGTTTCACTTCTTAGTTTTTAAGGGCATCAGTCAGCCCTCTTGATACAACACATGTACATACATTCTTTAAAGTGACTTTACATATATGGCTTTATCAGTTTTTATTACTGCCTAATGCCTTCTCTTTCTCGAAAGAGAGATATATATTCTGATGTTATCACACACATCAATTTCCTTCCCCATCCCCAACCTACATTCAGTTCATACACTATATTTTGGAACATTCCGGTTTTACATCCAAATGATGTATCAGATTCACTCACTTTTTTTCATTTTCATTTTGCTTGAAACATTAAAACATTTCTTTTGGAGAAAACATGGGAAACAAATGTGCTTCATGGTTATACTTCTTTCCTTTCCTTAAGCTTCTCACCCATCCCTGAAGCACTAAAATGAAGGCTTGCAAGACCAACTATCTGGTATACGAAGCCCATTAGAAGCAGTGGATATCAGAGGAAAAATGACAGCTGGAAGATGGAGGAGAAAAAAGGACCAAGCATATTCTATATTGTTTGAAACTAGTTAACAGATGGAAGATACTCACGTGTCTGAATCTTCTGAACTCGAGTCATCCTGGCTCTGTTCAGCCTTCCATCTCTTGTACCTGTCAATGAGCTCTGTCAAGTAAGAGGTTTTCTTTGCATTCCTTATTATAAATTTGTGTTTCAACAACTCCTTTGCTGTAGGTCTCTTGAAAAAACAAAAGTCAGTAAGATGATGTTCACTACCTTCTGCTTTAAAGTACCTCCAAATAGCAACCTGTGAACATCACTGTCTTTGAAATATTCATTCTTGTGCCAGCAGCTTTTTTTTTTTTTCTAAAAGAAATTCAGTAATTTGTTGTGTTTTGAACCTTCATAATTTTAAGACCATTTAACTAAGTAACTTCCCAAATGTCACTCACATTCTGGGTATGCACCTTCTCTCCTGACTACTTAAGTCAAGAATTGTTTTATGCTTCTGGCATAACAAAAGCCATGACCCAGAGGTGCTACAGGCCAAGGCCTGCCAACTGCTTTTGCTACTTAAGAGAGGACAATGGATACCAGTTACAGGGAGGGATAAAATGAAAACTCAAATCACCAGTTGGTAGAAATACAGAAACTACAACTGGGGTTAGATCAAACTTCTTCTCTTAGAACAAATTATATACTTAATGAGAGCGTCATATTACTCAATCTTGTGAAAAAGAAAGTATCTGTAGACACACTTGGCAATATCATATGTCTTCTCACTTCCTACTCATTCCCAATGCCCTTATATCATGTTTTCTAGGTACCTTCCTTTCATCTTGATTCCTTTATGATTGTGGAACTGGGTAGGTAAATGGCTATATTAACAGTTATCCACATCTAAGGTGTGTGCATTTTAATTTACAGGAGGGTCAAACAAATGTCAGATCAATTAGTATCTACAACTGCTGATTCCCTGCAACTCAAAAAAGAGAATGTCAATGCTACAAGATTGACAAAATCTGGAACTAATAATTTAGTATACATTACCTGAAGAAGAGCAGATAGAGACATTTTAGTTTCTGGCTTTGTCAATTCTGTTAGCTCACTATTCCCTCAGTCTCTGACAAGGTGTCAGCACACCCTAACACAGTGATATAATCCATGCTTTACATCTTAAGATAGAAGTCAATGAGAAAATGAAAATCAGCTCTCTTTTACAACTAACAGCTAAAAAACTCAATTAAATAATTTAAAGATAAAATTCATCCCAGTTTCTTAATGACATGGATGTGAACCAGGAATTATTACACTCTTGATAAACCTCTAATATTATTTGTAGGATTTTCTATGTTTAAAGGGTATTTCAATGTGCTTGGACAAGACTGAGCAATAGAAAATTCACCTCCAAGTAATTTTTTCTGATTTCAATTTAGAGGCAAAATTCCAAGAAAAAGTTGGTGTAGCTTTTTAATATGATATTCAAGATACTCTTGTGGTTAGCATGCCAATACCTGTGCACCCCCTGCTATGACCACACCTAATTTAGATGAAAATACTTTCACAGTTGGCTGTGATTTCTGCCCGATTCTGTAATGTCATTTAAAACTTTTGAACCCCAACACATAATGTTTGTCTAATGAAAATATTTCCATACCAAAGTTTCTCTGTGATTTAAAAATAAATAAAACTCTAGCACCATGAATCTGTTCTTTACACGCCAAGAGTGATCTACTGATAAAACTTACAAAGCTCGGCTCCTTGTTTAGACAGGCCTCCACAAACTCTTTGAGGGGTTTGCTGTAGTTCCCTTCCAGTGTTGGTGGATTGTTCTTTGGAATGAGGAATAACACCTTCATTGGGTGTAGCTCCGAATGGGGAGGTTCTCCTTTAGCCAACTCTATAGCTGTTATGCCCAAAGACCAGATATCTGCCTGCAACACAAAACAATCTTTAGGGACCAAGAACAGGATTATATGGATGACATTTTCATTCAGGTAGAAGTAGCTTGAGAAGACATACCAACAGCGTTCTAATCTTTGGAAAGTATTAACAGCTGCCACTTGGCCAGCTCAACAAAGACAGTTCAGTTAAATAAACAAGTCATATCTCATTTGGAATGCTGGCCTTAGTCCTGGGCCACATTTTAGGAAGGACAATGATGAGATGAATCAAGTCCCAAGGAGGGCAACCAAGATAGAAAGGAGGCTGCAAGACCAAGCTCAGAGGACTGGTTGAAGATGGGAGAAAATGATAGTTGTCTGCTAGTATGTGAGAGAAATTAATTGTCTGTGTCTGGGAAAATTAAGAATAGACAGAAGCTACAGAAAAGCACACTTCAATTCACTAAGTGGAAAACTTTACTATTAAAGCTATCCAAAAGCAGAGACTGGGGGATGCCAGGAATAAGAGATCAGAATGGGGCACTTATATAATCCTGGGCATAGAGTAATGGCCCTAGAGTGAACGAGACCCGAGTTCAAATCTACCTTCAGGTACTTAACTAGACGTAAGTCATTTCACTTCTGCCTGCCTCAGTTTCCTCAAGTGTAAAATGGAGATAGTAATAGTCCTTACTTGTCAGAGTTGTTATGAGAATCAAATGGGATAATATTTGCAAAGCTCTTAGCACAGTGCTCAGCACAAAGTAGGTATTTAATTGATCCTTAGTAGAAATGTTTGTGGGTCACCACCATAAATGGGGTGACCAGACATAATTATTAGCTATCAGAAGAAATAAATGTAGAAAAAGAAGGTAGTCAATACTGACTCTTGATGGAGAGGGGGGAAGGGACCACTGCTCTTGATGAACTTCCCATGTAAAGAGAATGAGAAGGCTCAAAATTGAGCAGGAAGGTAAATGTTATGGAAAACTCTCATGGGGAAAAAAGGAGGCAGTTATAAAAAAAATTATAAGATTTCACTGGTACAGGGTACTCCCAGGTGAGAAAATTCCCTTGACTAATGTAGGTTGGCACCTTCCCTGCAAAGCACTGAGAGCTTGTGTACAACCACTAAGCACTGATGAATCAATATATGTTAGAACAGAATTTGAAGCCAAGGATCACTGGCTTCCAGGCTCCCAATCCCCCACATCATGCAATCTGAAAAAAAGGAACTAAGTTGAATGTGATCCACATCAGACTGGTATCTCCTACTGCCAGTCAACTTAAGAATCCACATTCACATTCAACGGCTAAAAGGAAACCACAGAATTTCCTCCTATCATGAGTCAAACATCGTCCTAAAAGGATAGGCTTTGGGTTTAGGCTCCAGAGCTGGAATTCTGTTGAGAGATTATCCCAAACTTTTGGTCCCTCTCCATCATTTTGAACAAGAGAAAACCAAGACGCCAAAAGGAGAAGTGACTTACAATCTATTCTGAGCCCGAATAGGGACCAGAGGTAAAAGTAAACCCAGATCTTCTGACTCAAAATCCAGCATCTTGCCACATGATTCTGATGGTTATTAAATAAGAATAATTAGCTTTTCTCTGCCTCTCAGTGACAGCAGCCAGTAGAGGTCAATAAAGTGCTGACTGGGCTGAGGAGATATAGAATATGATCTCACTTCAGCCCTTAAGTTCCCCTCTATGAATACAACTCTCCTATTTGCCAGAAGTAACTGGAGTTTATATATTTATACACAGAGACACACACACACAGAGCATGAAATGTATACTATAGATGGATACTCTTCTTTTTTGGACCTAAGGGCAACAATAGCACTGCCAAGCAAATCACTGGGGTCAACTTTAGAAATACAGATTCAAATAAGAAAGGGGCAAAAAAAAAAAAAAAATTGAGCTGTCCCCTACCTAGAAGAGAATCAGCATTAAAAAGCCTCTTAATCTTGTCAAACAGAGAAGTCTACCCCTTCAGGAGGGACATTTAAACCAGCTCAGCATTTAACTATGGATCATCTCCTATTTTATTCAAGAGACAAATGTCCGAAAGCTCTAAAAACACTCATGGACAGGTGCCAAGTCTTCATTCTGACTCAGTGACCTACTTTGTCTATAATGAAATCTTATTTATGTCACAACTTTCTGGGTTCTCTAACTTCTTTTCCATAAAATAGAGACAAGTGGAGAATTATCAGTGAAGCCAAAGGCAGCAAAGGAAGAAAGCAAGCACAGAATGTGAAAGTAGTCCTATCCAAATCTGGGGAAGGAGGGAAAGGATGAATCTGCTTAAAAAAAGAGTCAACCTATAAGGTCTGAAGATGACTCTAACAGTAGTTAAGTGGCTACAAGACCAAGTGTATCAGTCAACAGGAAACAAATCATGCTGTCTTTGAAGATCTGTTGTCAGTGATAAATTAGTTATTTGGATAGTCCCCAAGTTTTTCATTGGCTTATATGTGATCACCTCTGAAGAGGTAAAAACAAAGATGACAAAAGATGTCTACAAAGACAGAGAAACAACACTGAGACATCAACCTTTGAAATATTCCCCAAGCCTCCTGGGTCTAAGCAACTAGGATGAAAACTCTAGATAAACAAACTTTTGGAACTTGAATTAAACCCTGATGAGTAATCTAGCCCTGGTAAAAACAAAAAAACAAAAACAAAAACAAAAAAAAACAAGAAGAGGTTATTTGCAATACAACAGAAAATTAGTAAAAAGATGGAATGATGGAGAGTTGAAAATTCGAGATCACAGGGCCAGCTAGGTGGCGCAGTAGATAGAGCACCGGCCCTGAAGTCGGGAGGACCTGAGTTCAAATCCAGCCTCAGACCACACACTTGACACTTACTAGCTGTGTGACGCTGGGCAAGTCACTTAACCCCAATTGCCTTAAAAAAAAAAATTCTAGATCACAGAAGGACAAAGCTTGTGGTTGAAGGCAGAAACAAAGGTATGACCTGTGGTTTAGAGAAAAGGGTGACTGAGTTGAGCACTTTAAGAAACTGGAAGGTGAGAGTATCAGAGAAAACATCTGCATGTACAGTGAAGTCCTCAAGTATAGGACAAATGGAAAGTCACTCAGGCTTTTCAAGCGATAAATAACACAGTCCCATATGTGCAGGAGAGAAAATAACTGTGGTAGTAGTTTGTGAGAAGGGAGACTCTGGGCTGTTGCACCAGGGAGGCAGCAGTGTGAGTAGAGAGGTGGGGACAGATTAGAAAGATTTAAGGAGATAAATCAATATGTGGCAAGCAATTAAATGTGGAAGATGGGTGAGGGGGATAGGTCAAGGAAGTTCTGAGCCATCGTGGGGTGAAGAAAGATCTGCTGTCACCTGAAAAGGGGAAGTCAAGAAGTGGGGCAAGTTTTGATGGGAAAGACGATGAATTCAGGTTTAGACACATTAAATTTAAAGCAGTGAGTAACAGGGCACCTAGATGAAGAAGTCCGTGGTGTAATTCAGTGAGATTCGTGATGCATCAAACAAGTGGGAAAGCAGAATAGGCTTCCATGAGAGAAAAAAATATAGAAGAAGATCAAAAACAAAGGTGTGGGGGCTATCTTTGTGCATCTGGAGAAACCTTGGGAAGTTTCCGGCTACTCTGCAGGTTATTTTGAGGTCTAGGGTACAGAGGGATTTGGTGGTTATTAGTCTTAACAAAGTCAGCTGAAAACTGCATCTTTGACCTTTTCTGAACCATTCTTCTTTCTCTTGGATATCCCTGGGTCAGAGTTCATGAGATCCAGACAGAGAAAAGCTGGAGAATATAATGGAAGCTCACTTTTTAAAAATGGGTATACCCAAAAAAAAAATCTTAAAAGGACAAGAATAAGAAATTATCAGAAAGTAAAAAGACTATTAGAACCATGCCATCTTGCTGCTAATAAGTTTTCCTCCTAAGTAGCTTAAAAAAGAGGAAAGAATGGTTAATGTATAAAATAGACCAAGAGGAAAAAAAAAAAAGGAAGCTATGAGTCACTTCATCTAATTCTTTAAAAAAAATACAGCTAGGAGATTACACACATACCCTTCAATTCACATTTACCGCACATCTGTTCACCACCTTTCATTAAAAGAGGAAGAAAAATCAATCCTTAGCCAACTTAGGTGTTTATTAGTATCCTGTGTACAGGGAAGGTCAGCTCATCAGGTTAGAACAGAGTGCTCACGAGGCCAGAGTCATGAGTTCAAATGCTGTGTACGTCAGCACCATTTTGTTTCATGGCCATGGTTATGTGCCCCTAATCCTGGGCGTCCATTTCATAAACACACACTAATTGTCACAAGGAGGATGAAATCACAGTGTGAGCACTCACTCGCTTTGGTTGTAAAGTAAACCAAAGTACAAGGTCTAGTACTAGTACCATCCACATGTGAAGAAAAATATATCATTTATGATAAAAACCCATGGGTAAACTGGGGTTTCTGAATATGTGTGGTCCTGACTCATATGTGCCATAAGTAGGCAGAGATAATTAAGGGCTGTCTTTGTCCCATCGCAATTTTCCTCAACTGTCTCCCTCCCAGACCCCTGAGGCAGCCAGTGGCTTCACTTTGGTCAAAGTTTCAGCTTAGAGAGCATACTCAGAGTGCTTCAGCATTAAAGGAAAAGCATATAAAGTTACCTCAGAGTCTTGAGAAAGATAAAGGCAAAGCAGTTCAGTAAGAATGATTTGTTGGATAGGAAGAAATGCACTACATTTCTGGTCTGACATTGGTAAGGAATTTATGGGAATATTAAGTGTGGTCAACTACTAAAGATAATGGGTGATGAGACCATCATTAAGAGCCTATTTCAGCAAAAACATTAAATGCACTTAAATAGTAAATGTGCCTTTAAAATAATAAAGAGAAATTTCACTGAAAAGAAGATTGCACATAATGAAGCAGACCTTCAAATAATAGTCAACATATCCATAAGGCAATGAAAATGACACTTAACATCTACAAGAGTAAGGCACTTCATCAAAAAGCTCCTCCAGAATAGGCAATAATTCCAATTATTCATAGTCCTAATGAGGCCCTGGAGAACATAAACTGTTTCCCACACCTAAGAATTGCTTCACAAAAGCCTGACCATAACGAAGAAATTCCATATCCTTTAAATGTGGAAGTGAGGCTTTTAAATAGAACTATTACATTTGGACTCCTAATATGTCAGTACCCAACGTGCAATGTGAAGAAGGAGAACTAGCAATAAGGCTGATGAAGCAGTTAGACCAGCTAAATACAGAAGAAATCTAGGACGGAGACAACAGATAATCTGAAAGAGGACTAGAAAAAATTTTTAGATTTTTAAAATGCCACTTTTTTTAAGAGATTGAAAAGACATTAGAAACTATACATTCCTATTCCTACTTTGCCCTTCCATCGATATCTTTCTGAAAATGATTTCCAAATATGCCAACGATAATCTTGATGAAAATATGAAAATGGTGGGAACTGACAGATTTTTACAAGTGATTTCCCATAGCAGGAGACATCTTCTAATCATACAACTGATAGATTCCCAATGCTTACTTGTCAATCAAAAAGGAAAAAAAAAGTATTTGACTTGAGAAAAGCCAGATGGAGCTGTAAAGGTTCTTCTCCCACAAGATTCTCCTACACAAAAATTACAACTACATGAGACTCCTTGATCAGTAGACCACAGATAGAACTTTGTTCAGTGATTCCCTCATTAATACCAAGTAAGACATAAAACTGGACAGGGAGTCTTATGAACATCATAGGATCATAGATTTAAAATTGGAAAGAGATCTCAAAAGGTCATTTAGTACAACCCCCTCATTTTACAGATAAACAGAAACTCGAGGCAAATGTACTTGCCAGTCATAGAAGATGGGTTATATAGAATCTACCTGGAAAATAAACCTCACAGGTTATTTTTTTTTTTTAGCCTTCTCCCTTATATTATGATTGTGACAGATGATCTCTCAGATGTGAAGCCTCCTCAGAGGGTTAATAGTTTATGTTAATAGTTCTCACAAGGGGCAGCAATTAGGAGATCACTGGTCATTTGGAGATAAGGTCAGAAGCCAGATAGTAAGAGTGGGAGGAGAGAAATTGGAGGCACCTGTTGTAGATGGCCTTCTAATTGTATTGTTGCAACACTCCTTTCTGACCTTGTCAAAACCCCCTCAGACCCTGTTTTTAAGTACCTAGCAGAAAGAATGGAATAACCCTACCCTCAACCTAAAACCCTTGCAAGACTTCCGGCCTTTTCTTGTCTCTGGGCAAACTTGTGTACTTTGTTGCTGGGGAAGATTTCTGTGTATAGATTGTGCCCCCTGAAGCCCAGCCAAGGGGAGAAGGGGAAAGAGGTTTTGGGAGGAGGATCTCGGGTTAGGATATAAATAAGCCTTGTTTTCTAACCAACTTGTACCATACCTATACTCGCCATTAGGGCGATGGGGTACCAATACACATCCTCCCTGGCCCTTGCCATTAGGGTGACCAGGGGCGGTACCCTTTCTCATGAGAAAGCAATAAACTCCCTTCTGCTTTCAAGGTAACTAAGTCCTTGTTTTGGATTTGAGTAGTGGTCTCTGTGCCACACATGATGTCCTCCACACATTTGTTCTTAGACAACACTGTGCTGATTATAGACATCATGACCCAAGTTCTCTTCGCTGAGATTCAAAATTACTCAAAAAAACCAAAATGGATGAAGAAAGCTTTCCCTAATTAAGAGATGTAGTCATCAAATAAGGTCATTAGCATGTCTACAAATGGACAATAAGCTGGGCCCAGAACTGAAAAAAAAGGAAGAGAATGGGCTAGACTGCATTTGGGAAATGGTAGAGCACTTCTCATACCCCAAGCTGTTGCATGGCACAAAGCAACATTCCCCACCCCACCCCACCCCCTTTTTTTTTTTAACACCAATATTCTTCCGGTGTAAGAAATACTGTAGAACAATATATAGCAAGACATGAAATCACAGACAGTGGAAAATGGCCTCCAAGTCAGGAAAAGTTAGTTTCTGGTTCTCCTCTCACATAATAGTTATATGGTTTTGGGCAAACCACTTAATTTCTCAGTACCAGGTTTATGAGACCTTGTACTGGAAAATAGCTGCTGATCCTCATTGAGAAGGAGAGTTTCCTATACCAGTACATCACAAATCTAGACCACTCCCAATCCCCCCACCACCACCACCAATAATTCCCAATACAAAAAACCTCCTCAAATCCTTTTTAATGATGCCAAATGTTTGGCAATGATCAAATGTTGCAACCTTTAAAGAATCAAGATTGTGAGTGGTTCAAAAAAGCAAGAGAGAAAAAGACTAATGGTAGGCATAACTAGGCTGCTACAACATACTGCCAATAAGGTCATGTGTATAAAGAGTGGTATAAAGGACATCACTAAGAAATGTTCAATTTGAAGGAACATGGGCCATTTAGAGCAAAAATGAGGGCCAACAGACAAATATCCTTAGGGATGCACTGGTATCCAAGCATTAGAAGGCCTCTAGAGGTCTAGAGCTTGCTAGCTCTAAATCTATAATGCTATGATCCTATAATTGTAAAAGACCTAGAGGAAAAAAGCCTCTAGCACATCAAGATAGGTCTTCAATGGAACAAAAGATACAAACAGCAAAGGACGAAAAGATGTGAAAGGGTCGCCCTGCACTGCTAGAATGAATACCCTCATGGATGGATCCATTGAAACACTCAAGAAGTATGCATTATTATGAAACCTTACCTAACTGCATCTAAATATGTGGTATCATATTTTCTACAACATAAAACTGACAACTTTTTTATGTTTCTAATCTCTCAGAAGTTTAATACAGCTTTAAGCTTGACAGATATTTCTCTGAAGAAAATCAATAGCTTCTCCACAAGCTGTACAGGAAGTGGGTACAGCCATGAAAATAACAATTCTTTAATAAAAATACTTCTTTAAAAAAAATTTTTTTAAGGCACAGTGGTCTGCTTAAACACTAATAAGGCAACATCTATTAACTGTTTGAATTGTAAAACAAGGGCAATCCAGCTACAAACCAAAGTAACCCAATCAATAGTGTGAGATTTGAAAGAAAGCCAGGGTTGAGACTTAGTTTAGATAAAGTCTTCTGAACTTCTTCCCAGCCACATTTCACAAAAAATTTAGATCATTAGGTATGGAGATTTGCAAATGTTGACAAAGTGAATAATTATATTAATGGTGTTTTGTTTTGTTTTTTAATGACAAAAGGGGAAGCTATGGGTGGGATTAATACCAAAACAGGGCTTTAGAGATCTAAAGGGGGGGGGAAGAGGACACTGACAGCGACAGTGTTTGTTTGTTTGTTTTTAACAGATTTAGAACTAGGTATTTACTTTATAGTCTTGCTTCAAGGCCTGCTTTAAAAGTAGGTATTGCCGGAAATTACATAAAGCTGTGTTCTGATCTTACCTTTGAATCATAGGCAGACTGCTTGATGACTTCAGGTGCCATCCAGAATGGGGTGCCCACAAAGGTGTTTCTTTTTATTTGGGTATCTGTCAGCTGCCCAGCTACTCCAAAATCGGCAAGTTTCACTTCTCCTTGTTCAGATAGCAGAACATTTGCAGCTAGAAAACAAAAACATGTGCCGCCTTGTGACATCTTGTTTAATGGTGTCATGTATTATTCAATTCTGGGCCTACTTTTGTTTCTCACAGCTATGGAGCTGATATCCCAACTTACTTATAAAGATTCTTCATGGTAGGGATCAAGTTTTATATATTTTTAGATGTACAAATCTTTATACCACATCACCCGTTTCTCCCCACCAAAAGTCAGCACAACTCTTTGCACTTAGAGGAATGAATGCAAGGCTTATTAGCTGAAAAAAGATCCTGCCAAAAACAGTCGTACAGCTCTAGGAGTCACACTCAGTTTTTGTCCTTCTCAGCTGCTTGATAAATTACCCCAAATTTTAAGGGAGTAAAAAGTAACACATTTTTCTTACCTTTTATATCTCGGTGAATTTTCTTTTCTGAATGCAAATAATCGAGTCCTTTCAGAATTTCTCTTAATATAGTAGCAATCTGAGTTTCATCTAGAGCGCCAGGTTCTAGCTATCAGAAACATATATTGGTGGTAAGTCATTAAAAAGACACCTTCAATCACAAAGCAATTTGCCTGAGGTGGAGATAGATAATGTATCAGACTCCACACAACTAGTAAACAACAACAATAATGACAGTGGTTCATGTTTCTATAGAGTTTTACAAAATACTTTTCCTAAAAAAAACCTCAGAAGGGAAAGGGGTATTGGGGGGTGGGTGTGTGTGTGTGTGTGTGTATTTTTTGAGCACACTTATAATTTTATTAGTAAATGGAAATTCTGATAAGGAAATTCAGTAGAGGCTTGTTCCTGCTTTACAACTTAAGAGTTTTAGAGATTTAGGGCTATAGTTAGGATACATGTGACACATTCTTAACTCTCAAGGCAGCTCTCAAGGAAGGCATTCTCATTTTCGTTTTCAAGATTAGAAAGTATATGCCCAAATAAACCTTTTATCCAATGTATTTAAAGGGGGAAAAAGTGGTGAAAGCAGCTCCTTGCGTGTCTTCAAAAATGTTCTCAATAGGTGACTAACAGGATAGTCAGTCTCAGACCAGGAGAGGAGATAAAGAAATAAAGATTTTTAGGTCTGTGGTTTCAGTGACCTGCATGCTGATCTGTTGCAAACTTATAAATTCTGATCCACCATGTTGCACTGGAGGGGAACAGGTAGAATCCAAAGCCTTAACAGGCATATAACCCTAAAACAAGAAGCCCAGGAAACCAAGGCATGTCAAGAAAATCAAAGGGCCTATCTTATGCCTTTGCATGATCTCTGCTGAATCTTACCATCTTTGGTCATCTTACAAAAAGGAAACATGGCTCTTCTGTGCTAAATAAAAATATCTCTGTGGACTGGGGGGAAAAGAAAGGCATGAGAGAACATGATTTACTGTTTGCAGCACACTAAAAGGTAAGGGGGAAAAGTTTTAAAAGTCACACAACCAAACGTGTTATCTACATAAGATCAAAATCAAAGCAAAACAAAACAAAACATAGGCTTGAACTGTTCACTTTTTGTCCGTATACTTGGAGCTATGAAAACAGAACTTGTAGAGGGCTAAGCAGGGTGGGGATAGAAAGAGAAAAAAATCCACAGATTCATGGTAAGGCTAAAGAAGTTAGAGCAAAATAACTGAAGGAAAAAAGATATTTAGTCTCTCTGTCCAACTAAAGCTGCAGGCTGGGCTTGAGAACTGGTTCAAATATTAATACCTTTACTATCTAGTAACTATACACACACTTAGCATGCCCCCCATATAATGATATAATGATGATGACAGTAAAACAAAAAACAAACAGCTTGCATTTATACAGTGCCTTAAGGACTGCAAAGCACTTCACAAATATCATCTCATCTTATCCTTACAACAATTTTGGGAGGTAGGTGCTATTATTATCTCCCAGAGTCACACATCTATTAAGTGTCTGAGGTAGGATCTGAACTCAGGCCTTACTGACTCAAATCCAGTACTCTAGCCACTGCACCACCAACTTTAATATTTTATGTGTGCTTTAGAGCAGATTATAGATTCACAGGATATTCACTGACCAAAAAGAGACTCTAAGAGCATAACAAGGAAATTAATCAGGAATTTTAAAAGGCATGGGGGGCACGGTGAGGAGTGTCTCCAAAAAAAACAAAAACAAAAACAAAAAACCCTATTTAGTAATATAATAACAATTCTGTGTCCCTAATATTTTTATCATTTGTGACAATAATACTTTGTCCTTGTTAGACTTCTTCATCTCTGAGAATTATCAACTGTTTCCTTAATTTTCTCAATATTCTTTTTGATCTGGGGAAGCAACTCATTTACTACATGAGAGAAAAATAAGAAAATATTAATGAATGGATCAAGATTGATCAGTGATATAATCCAAATGTGAAGAACTAAAAAATGAAATCTCCACTAATTATCTAAATTACTTCCTTGAGAAACTAGACCTAAAACCTTAATATGGACATCATAGGCCATGAAACAAGGAGATGAGGACATAGGCTAGGGAGGGTTGAAGAGACCCAGCAATTCAGTGTTCTCTTTCAACAAAATAACCAGTATATTCTGTTTTTTCGTTGTTTTTTGTTGTTGTTGTTGTTGTTTTTGCTAGGCAATGGGGTTAAATGACTTGCCCAGGGTCACACAGCTAGTAAGTGTCAAGAAGTTGGATCCGAACTCAAGTCCTCCTGACTTCAGGACCAGTGCTCTATCCACTGTGCCATCTAGCTGCCCCTAACTAGTATATTCTGTAGTTAGCTAGTGATGCCCTTACCTGTATTTTTAAAATCTGGTCACTACAGTTTTGCACATATATGAAAACATTTCAGTGAATGAAAGTACCTAATACTCTGTACTTTCACTAAGTAAAAATAGCATCTGCAGTAAAGCCAGAAAGAAACGAAACTAAAATATTCATTCTACGGTGAAATGAATTATTGATAAATCCAGTTACATGAATAAACACAGACTATTTACATACGTCGTGTCTTTTTTCAAGGAAAACACCATAAGATAGGCCTACTTTGTACTATACAATGTGTTCCTGAAAAGTTAAGTGTAAATCAATTTTTTTAAAAAACAGAATCATTTTTCCATTGCTGTACATTATAATTTCACAGATATTGTGGTTTTCTTTCCTATTAATAATTGCCTATTAGAGAACTCTGACAATCACAAGGCACTATTCAGCTGGAAACTCATTTTGCAATTAACAAAGATGGAGCTCTTTCTGAATGTTTTGCTTGGGAGTCCAGAATTTCAACTCCAGCTAATTATACTATTCTAGATTCTTGTATAATATGGTTATATGAACAAATAACTCATTTGCTCTCTTAATCTTCTGTAAGATTTTGCCTCTGGAACTGAGGCAAAATACCAGTGATTTATCAATGTGTTTATAAGTTAGACATTGCACAAGTCAGCTTGTTGCCTACTATAATTTCATATTTGTTTCACCTATTTTAAGAGTTTGTTGAACAGTAGTTAATTGGCTCCATTTTGAATATTAGTTTTTACCAGAAAAAAATCACCTTCAATAGTAATTCTAGTAACTATCAATTTGAAATGTGTTTATTCTATACCCAATTCATTAATGGATTGCTTATGGTAAAAGAAAGCAAAACCATAATCCCAAAGGAAGACTATGGTTCCTATCTCCTCCCCCATCAAACCAAGTCAAAACTACAAGAAGCAATGTGGTATAATGAAATAAGTGCTAGACTTAAAATCAAGAAACTTTGGTTCAAATCCCAGATTCAAAACTAGCTGTGTTCTCATGAGCTCTTAAAAGCTTCTCCAACCACTAATTTCTTTATCTATAAAATGGGTATAATATTTGTTACAACCTACCTACAGTCACTGTGAGGAAAATACTAAGTGTTCCATAAATGTGAGTTGTTATAGCAAATAATAAATCCTGCCGCATGGAAATTTTACCTGCTTCTATTTCCAGTTGCTGGTGAAGTTGCTAATTTTAATGAAGAGTAAGGAAATAGTCAAGTAGCATGTTTTGCATGAAGTACCAAAGTAGACCACCTAAACTAACTGGGAAATGGCTACTCAATTAAAGTACAAAGTTAACTGGTCAATTCCAACTTTTTCTGATGATACCACTCTTTGGGAGAGGGAAAAAAAAAAACCTAACAAACACTTCTATTGAATTCTTTTATCGCAAAAACATACAGAAACAGCACACTCAAATGTGTGGCTTATTAAAAATTAAAACCATGATGACAACCCAAGTTTTCTTATGCAGCGCAGAACAAGAAAAACAGTATTTTACATTACTGTCACTTCCGTGGAGCAGAACGTAAGAAAGAACCTAGTCACTTAAAACACAGGTTTACAGGAAATTCTTGCCCTCACAAAGACATTCTATTCTGGACAAGTTGCTTCCCTTGTGGAAGGCTGTGAGAATACTCATTTTTCAATTGGTCATATGCCCTGGCCTGAAATGCATGACTAAAGAGTGATCGATGAGAGTGGCAGGGAGCTTTCTCAATTAGACTCCCAGGCTGTCATTTAGCCCTTCTGGAAATACTGATTGATCCATTAATCAGCTAAAATCTTTTCCAGTCTCCAGTTTCAATGACTGAGCTTCAATTTACTGCCATTCAATAATTTAAAGCAAGAATTCATGAACTGAGACAGTAATTCTTGTTTTATGAAGTCATGTGCTTACTCAATACTGAACAATCTCTAAGCTCACTTCCTCCTATAGGTGTCTATTAGAATTTTTAAAATAACTTAAATTTTTAAAGTGTTTTAACTAATGATTTGCCCATCTCTTTTTTCATTGTTATTTTAACGATCAAGTCTACTTTCCTCTTCTGCTTTAACGTCTTCCTTTTTGACACCCTTCTTTCTAGGGACTACTAGAAAGTCATTACTTCATGCCAGTAATATTTAAATAGCCTACTGGTGTCCTGCCTGCCTCAAGCCTCTCTCCACTCCAATTCATGCTTCATTCAGCCACTTAAGTGATTTTCCTAAAGTGTATGACCAATAATCTCACACATATACACCCCACTCAAAAAACTCCAGTGGTTCCCTTTGTCCTCCAGGATCAAATATAAAATACTCTGTTTGGTGGTCAAAGCCCGTCATAACCTTGGCCTCTCCTACCTTTCCAGTCTTTTTACAACTTACTCCTCAACACATACTCTTCCATTGAGTAACACTGGCCTCCAAGCTGATTCATGAGCAAGACACTCCATCTCTTCACTCCAAGCACTCTCTCTGACTACCCCAATGTCCAGAATGCTCTTCCTCGTCATTTCTACCTACTGGCTTCCTTTAAGTCCCAACTAAAATCTCATTTCCTACAGGAAGCTTTTCCCAATACCTCTTTATTCTAGTGCCTTCCTTCTGTTGATTATTTCTTATTCATCCTGTATACAGGAAATGTGAGAATAGCAGCTCTGGCACAAGGAGTGTTCAGATATGATCAAATATGATCACCCAAGAGATAGAAAAGTGAGAATAAATTTGCCCACATGAAATACTTTTC